CCCGGCGCTGCCGCTGGCGGAACCGCATTGCCAGGAGCTGCCTCGGTCTCCCCATGGCCCTGGGAGGCTGGTGACCGGCTCCCTCTCGGGTCCCGTGCCACAAAAAGCCGGGGCCGTTGCTCGTCCGCCCTTCCGCCTGCACGTCGGTCAGTGCGGCGAGTCCGGCCTGGACAGGCGCGGGGAGCTGGGAAGGACCCCCCGGGGCGGGCGCCTGGGCTGGGCTCACCAGGCCCCTCTTCCCCCCGCAGCACGAGGAGGACTTTGAACTCCGGAAGGAGCTCATCGGGCAGGTGATGAACCAGCTGGGCCAGCAGCTCGTAAGCCAGCTGCTGCACACGTGCTGTTTCTGCCTGCCGCCCTACACCCTGCCCGACGTCGCCGAGGTGCTCTGGGAGATCATGCAGGTCGACAGGCCGGTAAGGTTGCCCAGGGGGGCGGCCAGGGAGGGAGCAAACCACAAAGGTCCATTCCACCAGCTGCATGTTCGTGAGACGCCCCAGGGCGCTGGCCGTGCTCAGCCTGCGCCGCGCCGCCCTACCGAGCTGGGTACCCGTCCAAGCGGGGTCCGGGCAGGGGCAGGGGCAGGGTTGGGTAGCACCTTGGACTGCTTCCTGCGGGCTGTCCTGACCGACACGCACCCCCGAGACGGACAAGGAAGTCTCTGCTGGCGGTGGCGTCTCAGACGCTGGGCTGCTGGGCGTCTGGAGCTTCTCCCTTCCTCCCGCTCCAGACGTTCTGCCGCTGGCTGGAGAATTCACTGAAGGGTTTACCAAAGGAAACGTCGGGGGGAGCCATCCAAGTGACGCACAAACAACTCACAGACTTTCACAAGCAGGTGACTAGGTGAGTGACCTCGGGGGTGTTCAGAGGGGTTCCCGTGAGTCAGCCCCATGGCCCTGGTCTGGAGCTTCTCCCTTCCTCCCGCTCCAGACGTTCTGCCGCTGGCTGGAGAATTCACTGAAGGGTTTACCAAAGGAAACGTCGGGGGGAGCCATCCAAGTGACGCACAAACAACTCACAGACTTTCACAAGCAGGTGACTAGGTGAGTGACCTCGGGGGTGTTCAGAGGGGTTCCCGTGAGTCAGCCCCATGGCCCTGTCCCGGGCGAGCCCCGGCCTCTTGGAAACATAAGAACAGCCAGACTGGGTCAGACCAAGGGCCTGTCTCACCCAGCGTCCTGCCTGCCCACAGTGGCCAGTGCCAGGTGCCCCAGAGGGAGGGGACACAACAGGAAATCCTCCAGTGATCCCTCCTGTCATCCGTTTCCAGACACACAGAGGCTAGGGACACCTTTCCCACCCATCCTGGCTAACAGCCATTGATGGACCATGAATCTATCTAGCTCTTTTTTTGAACCCTGTTAAAGTCCTGGTCTTCACAACATCCTCCAGCGAGGAGTTCCACAGGTTGACTGTGCACCACATGAAGGAAAACTTCCTTTTGTTTGTTTTAAACCTGCTGCCTACTCATTTCATGTGGTGACCCCTAGTTCTGAAGTTACGGGAACAAGTAAATAACCTTTTTTTTTTTATTCACTTTCTCCACACCAGTTATGATTTTATAGACCTCTGTCATATCCCCTTTAGCAGCGAATGAGTTACCCTCTCCCACAATTAAAAATGAGGTCACCCGATGGACTGAATAGGCAGCAGGTTTGAGGCGAACAAGAGGAAGTGTACTTTTGCCACGCCGTTAACCTGTGGAACTCATTGCCACAGGATGTGCAATGAAAGGGAACTGTTCAAAAATGAGCTAGATAAGGTCCTGAAAGACAGGCCAGTCCCATTCGGTTGTCATAGCCTCGGCCTCTAAGGCCAGCAGGGACCGTGGTCGCCCAGTCTGACCTCTGGCCGGGTTGCCGACCTCCTCAGATCCCCCTTTAAAAGTTTTACGTTCCAGAGACTCCTCCATTTACTTTAGTTGAAATCCACCTGTGCCCCGTGCAGCTGAGGAAACCCCAAAATCCCT